ATATATATATGTTGTTTAAATATAATAATATAATATCATATAATGTATGAGATATATGGCCCTATGATGGACAGAATCGCAGAATCCAGTCATGAAAATAATATTTAGATACACTGATACACACAAAAAACTCTCAAAGATCTTCACTACAACCTGTCAAAATAAATGATTGGTTTAACTTGAAGAAATTATGACAGAAATATATTACTATTGTACAGCAGACAATACTTATTAAAGTAGTAATAATAATAATACAAACTTATTCAACTATTTTAAATGAATTTCATAGGCCTTATTGTTTTATAAAGTTTAATAAATCATTAAAATGCTGGAGTTTTTATTAATTAGATTTTTTATTTTTGTTAAAAATGTATTTAAACAATTAAAAACAATCCAGAAATATTAAAATGAAAGAAATTTAGAAATGTAATTTTTGTTAAACTTTTAATAAATGTAAACATTTTCATGATTTTAATTAATTCTGAATTTTAACATAACTATTAAAATGCAATCTAGGGAAAAAATAAAATGGAATTTGTGATAAAATAAAATGGATTTCATATATGAAAAAAGGCACTTCAATAAATTTACAAAAGGAAATATTCGTAAAAAATTAGGAATACAGAAATAATTTTAATTGAGATGTAAAAATAGAATAAAAATAAATTAAAAAGCCATATGAACTATTATGGTACTTTTATGATGTGCCTTTTTTGAGGTGGTCACTGAAAAAAATAACAGCATATTTCTTTAAAATGACATGAGATGAATAAATGATAACAAAATGGACTTCATTTCATTCATTTTAACTAAAAGTTTGATTCATTGGAAGATTTTTGCTTGAACGACATGAACTTGAGAACCCATAAATCTCTTTGAAACTGTGTTGCTGTTGGATGAACGTGATTCGTTGTGTTCTGCCGCAGGGATGAGCTGAGTTTGCTGCACTTCCTGCACTCGCTGTGTGACTTCCTGCCTGTATCACATGACGTGCAGCCGCTGGAGAGGCCGAGCTTCTGCGCTGGATCTCTGGCTCAGACTCTGCAGACGGAGATCCACACCGTGACGCAGGAGGCGTCTTCAGCGCTGCGCTCTGATGAGGGAGTGAGGAGAGGAGAGGCGGAGTCACAGACGCTCCACACACTCAGGGAGGAGTGGCTTAAAGAACGGGGGCGGTGCAACGAGAGGCTCCGCCCCCTGCTGGACGAGACACGCTACAGCAGACTGATAGAGCGCATTATTCACGCGCAGCTGGACGCAGATGAAGCCGCTCTGATGGAAGCTCCTCGTTTGTAGGTAAAGCAACATCAAACTCACCGTCCCGGCAGTCCAAACCTGTGTGATGTTCTGGCAAACTCATAAAAATACCATCTAAAATACACCAAAAAATGATCATTAGTTCATGTGACTCTCCACTGCAGCTCTAAAATTGTATTTTAAACATGTTATGGTCAGTCATGTGACATGTGATAACCAATGACATTTGTCTCCAGTGACATCAGAACTTTTGTAATTTTATTTATTTAATCTTTTCTCAATTTAGGTTTCAGAGCTGTTGTCCACTTTCATTTTCAGCTTTAGAATTTTTTTTTTTTTAGGTTTATTACTACTTGTTATTTTTAAATGTATATTTATTTTTATTTCAGTTTGTATTTAGTTCTTTTTTAGGTTTATTTTATTTTAGTAATTTTATTCTGCATTTGTATCAGTTTTATTAGTTTTTTGTTTTAAATGTCTATTTAGTTTTTATTATTCATATAATTTTGTTTTTCATTATTTTCAATTTTATCAAAATCACTTCAAATTGCTACTTCGAATTAAACTAAATGAAAACTAGAAAAGTGAGTAATTGATAAAAGCATAACTGACAGGTTTTCATATTTTATCATAGTTAACATCTATTTTAATAGTTTAATATAAATGTTTTTAATATCTTGTTTTAATTAATGATAATAACACTTCAGAAACGAAAAAGAGACATTTTTTAACAAAAAGTTCAAATAAGAATATTTTTTTTAATAAATGAAATGCAAATAATGAATATAAAAATATGATAATATTGAAAAAAATAAATAAATAAATAAATAAAAAAAATATATATATATATAAACATAATATTGACAAATATGGTGCCTTTTTGCCATTTTTGGAGCTTGACAGAAGTGATGAAAAATAACAGCTTAGGGGTTTGAAATGGCATGAGATGAGTAAATGATTTCAGAATTTGCATTGCGAGTTGAATTATTCCTTTACAACGGCTTGGTAAAGAGGTAGAAGAAGCACAAGGAGCATCACAGCCTGATCAAATAAATAAAATAACACATGTTACTCTGAATGACAGCTCTGTATCTTTCAGCGGCTGTCGATCTGAATCTGCGCTGAATGATGAACGTCTCCGTGAGCTTTTGCTGGAGATCGAGAGTCTGGTTTGGTCTTGAGGTTCTGCAGGGCTTCACGGCTCTAATAGCTCAGAGACGACTCTTCATCTGCCCTCAGAGCGTCAGAAACACAGATTCTCCATCACCGCCTGTGTCTCGCTTCCAGCAATCCTTTGTGCATTTACTGTTCAAAATAAACGCTTGGATGCAAAAAGCCTTGAAGACAATTATTATTATTTTTTTTTATAAATGAGGTTCTTTATACTGTATTTCAGTCTTTCTGCTTTCTACCAGAATTTCACATTATTTGCTGTTGTAACTTGTGGAATTTAATAGCAATTTAAGTGTGTAAATTATTTCCAAATAAATCCTACATGTAAATCCTATAGTGTGTGTGTGTCTGTGTGTCTGTGTGTGTGTGAGTGTACAGGTTTATATATCCTGGTGGGGACTTAAACCTGAATACACACGTGTTCTAATATCACTTTACATCCAAATTCTAAATAAAAGCCAGTTGGTTAAAGCTTCATCTCCAGGAAGTGACATCGTTTTGGAGGGAAATCGGCAGCACGTCTGTGAGTATTACGATGTCAGTGTGTCTGATGCTCTTGTGTTTCAGTCTGCAGATCAATCAGCGTTTGACATGAAGATCAGCATCCTGAGGAACCTTTGATTGAAATACAGCTGTTTCAGACACACTGAGGATTTCCACAAAAATACTCTGATTTTCTCTTGGAGCGGCAGAAACTGGCAGTGAATTACACATATCGAAATGTATTTGGTTTTCTAGTTTTGTACGTATATAACTAAACGATGAACGAAAGAAAAATGCACATTACTTTTGACTAAGATAAATGATTTCAGTTTGTTCAGAGTTGATTGCATAATTTTCTGTATTTAATGTTGGTGTTTGTCAAATAATCAGCACGATTCATAACAGTCCTCATGTGTTTCAGATGAAACGGAGCAAACAAGCACCACTGACAATCATCCAGCTTGAGTGTCCTTGCCACTGTTACCATGGAAACCAGCATCAGCACCATCCGTCTGGAGCTTCATCACTGTCTGTATGAGATCAGCTGTAACGGTGAGTGTGATGACTTGTTGTTATTACTGTTTTCTTGAAATATATCATTCCATCAGTGTCTCAGCAATGGATGCTCTGCAGTGAATGGGTGCCGTCAGAATGAGAGTCCAAACAGCTGATAAAAACATCACAAGTAATCCACAGCACTCCAGACCATAAGTTAACATCTGGAGAAGACAAAAGCTGAAACAAATCCAGCATTAAGACGTTTTTAACTAAAATACATTGAGTCTATAATCCATAATAACGCTTCCTCCAGTGAAAAAGTGTTCTGGTGTGAATCAGGAGAGAAATCTGCACAGATCAAGCAGCGTTTAAACCGCTCTAAACAAATATGTGGCTGGATTTTGATGAGAGAGACAACAGGAGATGCACTTATTATGGACTCATATTTTAGTTAAAAGCGTCTTAATGCTGGATTAGTTTCAGCTTTTGTCTTCTCCAGATGTTAACTGATGGACTGGAGTGCTGTGGATTATTGTGATGTTTTTATCAGCTGTTTGGACTCTCATTCTGACGGCACCCATTCACTGCAGAGGAATTGATGTCCGCAAGACATCACAGTTTAGGACAGACATCTTGCCAATTGGTTTTGCAACATCTTCATTATCTAATCACGATCGTTTGATCCCCAATAATTGGCTCAGTGGACCTGAAATATGAAAATGTTCAGCATATGCAGCGTTTAATAGTTTGATACTCAACACATCTCCAAACAACTGATTATGCGTCACAGTCGTGAGAAATAGACAAATCTACATCATACCCTACTGTAATGAGACAAAACCAAAGACACTTTCCATCTGTGATCTTCAGTATTATGTGTTATTAATAATCCAAACCAACTGAGACGACAGCTGAGGAAAAATGTTTTCCTATAAATTATGGGTAGAGCTGAAAGCTCCATATCGGTAAATATAATATAATACAATGTGTATATATATATAATTGTGTGGTGTGGGTATGTAAATGAAAAATAAAAATATTTTTAATATATTATAAATATATATTTGAAAAAATGTAATATGGTATTTTGAAAGTATTGTTAAAATTTAATTTTAATTATTCAAATATAATTTTTAATTTAATTATAGAACATTTTATTACATTATATTTACCGACTTTTAATGTAGCATTTTAATAATATGTAATATTTCCATTGATATAACCTGGACATCGATGGGTTCAGTGAGACTCATCCTCATAAATCCACAATATTGTGTTTGTGCAGTAAAACATGTGCTGCTGTGATTAGAAAGAGGAGAAGAGTGACGACTCCAAAAGACTATCGTATAAAACAGCGTCTTTCGTACGAAAACGTCCGTCAAAAGCTGATCAGATGTCCAAATACTGTCGATGCGGTTGATTATCCCCAGTGTTTGTGTCTGCATCAGGTTTTGCTGGCGCTCTCGTGTCGGATGATCTTGTAGGTGATCCAGTAGAAGACGTTGAAAATGAGGAAGGCCAGAGGGAAGGCGGCGCGTGATACGGTGTCGATCCTCTTCGCTCGGTCCACAAACTTCTTGCGGTTCACGTCTGTGTCCTTGGGGACGGCCGGCGGCGGATTGGCGTTCGTCTGCGTGTTTTTGACCGTCGTCCCGTCCGTCACATTCCCGCAGGACGCGGTGTTATATCCGGAGAAATGCAGACGGCCGTCCTGTAATTCCTCCTCCTGTGCTTTCAGAAACACAGAGAAACAGGTTCCTATGCGGTTTGGAAAAGTATGGAATTTAAGTAAATTCCAGGTCTGGAAAAGTATGGGAAAAAGAAAGCAGAGTATGGAAAAATATTTGCATTTCCAGACCTTTGCCCCTATTTAGTCTTTATATTAGAGCCCGACCGATATGGGTTTTTGGGGGCCGATACCGATATTAGGCGATACCGATATATCGGCCGATATTCTTTGTGTATATTATAGTACAATAAGAGTACAGTATAGTACGAGCGTGTGTTTTATAGACATAATTATATCTGGTGATCTAAAATGTGTTTATTTCCTGTAGGTCAGATTTTTGAATATCTGTGCGATTTTGTTTTATGTAATACTATTCAAATCTGTCTGAACACATTGTTATATTAGTAGCAGGCAGGTTTGATAAAGACGTGAATGGGACACATTTTTAGTTGCGATATTTGTACTACGTTCATCGCCCTTCTTTCGCCGCAGGGTGGATGATCCTCACTCGATTAGCGCTGCGTTTCTTCAGCCTGCAGCGCGTCTTCATCTTTGTCTCAGGTGTCGAGGCTTTTGAAGCTTCAGGTGCAAATGTGTTTGTCTAAAATTAATGGAGCGATAATCCTGCAAGAGCTTTCTGTGTTTTGTAGCTTGTTAAAGGATTGTTGTTGTCTTTCTTTAGTGGCATATTTAAAAGGATTCATATTTAAGTTGATTTGATGCTAACGCTTTACAATACGGTTGCATTTAATAACATTATTGCATTTGCAAACATGTACTAACTACTAACTAAAACTGATTTTGATCAAATGATCACATTCACTCATTTTATTGTTTTTAATTGTAATTTTATGGTGTTTTTTGTTGTAATTTTAGAGGTTGATGGTAAAAATCACCATCCACTTTCATTGTCAGTTATATGTATTTATTTGAAAATATATTTATATATTTTTATTTCTACATGTAATATATTTATTAAATGAAAAAATATCCACTTTCATTGGGAATTTGTTTTAAACATTGATCTGTATGATGATCACATTCACTCATTTTATTGTTTTTAATTGTAATTTTATGGTGTTTTTTGTTGTAATTTTAGAGGTTGATGGTAAAAATCACCATCCACTTTCATTGTCAGTTATATGTATTTATTTGAAAATATATTTATATATTTTTATTTCTACATGTAATATATTTATTAAATGAAAAAATATCCACTTTCATTGGGAATTTGTTTTAAAATATATTTATATGTTTTAATTTTATTTCTAAATATATTTAGAAATAAAGCAAAAATGTATTTTAAAATAAATACATTTAAATAACAATGAAAGTGGATGGTGATTTTTATACTATATTGATAAAATCTAAAGTTAAACATAATTATTTGGGAAAAAAATAATTAAAAATCTGTCATGATTTACTCAACCACATGTTGAACCAAACTTTATTTCTTCTCTGGAACACAAATAAAGATGTTAATCAAAATGTCACAACTAAAAATTAAATTATCATTAACTTTTTATTTTATAAATGTGTTTGTATATGTATATATGAACATATTTTAAAATAAACAAATTTCAATAACACAAAATTAGATTTTTTTATTTTATGAAAACATTTATTAAATAAAAAAATCCACTTTTTATGTTACTTATTTTAAAATATATTAATTTTTAAATTTTATTTCTAAACATATTTCTAAAATGTAAAAATATTAGTTTTTTTTTTCACATTTTGATTAATATCTCTTAATATTTTTGTTCCAGAGAGAAAATGTGACCCTGGAGCACAAAAGCAGTGTTAAGTCGCTGGGGTATATTTGTAGCAATAGCCAACAATACATTGTATGGGACAAAATTATCCATTTTTCTTTTATGCCAAAAATCATTAGGATATTAAGTAAAGATCATGTTCCATGAAGATATTTAGTAAATTTCCTACCGTAAATATATCAAAACTTAATTTTTGATTAGTAATATGCATTGCTAAGAACTTCATTTGGACAACTTTAAAGGTGATTTTCTCAATATTTTGATTTTTTTGCACCCTCAGATTCCAGATTTTCAAATAGTTGTATCTCAGCCAAATATTTATTCAGCTTTCATTTATTTCTAAACATATTTCTAAAATGTAAAAATATTAGGGTTTTTTTTCACATTTTGATTAATATCTCTTAATATTTTTGTTCCAGAGACAAAATGTGACCCTGAAGCACAAAAGCAGTGTTAAGTCGCTGGGGTATATTTGTAGCAATAGCCAACAATACATTGTATGGGTCAAAAATTTTGATTTTTTTGCACCCTCAGATTCCAGATTTTCAAATAGTTGTATCTCAGCCAAATATTTATTCAGCTTTCAGATGATGTACAGATCAAAAATACTTTGACTGGTTTTGTGCTCCAGGGTCACAAATAAAGTTTGGATCAACATGTGGCTGAGTAAATGATGACAGATTTTTAATTATTGGATGATTTATTCCTTTAATGTTGTTTTTGTCCCATTGGAGATTCATTTCAGCCTACAATATGAGCAGTTCCTTCACATGTTTGAATAATTACAGAGTAAACAGACGAGCGTTTGCGATGCTGAAGTAAACGGAGTGTGTTGTTAAGCTGCTGATTGAGTGATCTGTAATATCTGTGGGGATGATAGAGCTGATGGGTTTAGCTGGCGAGGCTGAGGCTGTTTTTGTGGGATGGGATTCGTTCTCCGGCCTTCAAACTAAAGATGCTTGAACCCTGTGAAGCCCCAATCATAAATGCGTCTGTCAGTGTTTCGGCACCTTCTGATTTCGTCTCTGTCTTCGTTTCAGCCGCAGAAACTCCTTCTGCTGTCTGGAGACGAAGTTAACGCCGGCGTATTCCAGCAGAGCGGCGAAGACGAACAGCAAACACACCGCCATCCAGACGTCTATGGCCTTCACATAGGAAACCTGCACAGGAGCAGACGAGGAAACCAGTATAGACTTGTTTACTTTCTATAAAATATAAGTGCATGTATACTTTACAAAATGAAATATAAGATTTTCAGCTCTGTATAGTTTATTTTATAAGGTACTAAAAAGTATAAACAATTTTAAATTAAATATTTATTTAGAATATTTAAATTAAATAAAAGTTGTATATAAGCTTTATATATAAACACATTTTGAACTTAATAAAAATATACTTTTTATTATTATTTAATATTATTTAATATATTACATATAAAGGAAATCTATCTATCTACCATCTATATCTATCTATCTACCTATCTATCATCTATCTATCATCTATCTATCTACCTATCTATCTATCTATCTATCATCTATCTATCATCTATCTATCTACCTATCTATCTATCTATCTATCATCTATCTATCATCTATCTATCTACCTATCTATCTATCTATCTATCATCTATCTATCTACCTATCTATCTATCTATCTACCATCTACCTATCTATCTATCTTCCATCCATCCATCTATATATATATGTATATATATTATTTATCTTTATTTATTTAACTAGAACATTTCATATATTAAAGCAACATATTTATTTATTTATTTAGTTAGTTAGTTACTTATTTTGATCTCAACATATTAAAAGTAACTAACTAAGATTGTTCAGAGAACATTTTAAACAAATAAATCATTGAATCAGTTTCGGTTCACTAAAATGGACATTGCACTGATTCAACTTTATTTTCTAATCAGTATATCAAATAAAAAAGCCTAAAAGCATGAATTATGAGTTGTTTTCATTCACACATTAGCCTGTGTGTTAACTGTTGATAATCGTTATGTTTCTGATTATAATATCTGCTGTGAGTTTAGCAGACAGACAAACAGACTGAATGAGTCAGATCATGCAGAGAGAAAAGCCTTCATTAGAAGCTCCTGCAGGATTATGGGATTATTATCCGTCTAGTAATGAACGCTTTGATTTCCAAATAATACTGATTATTAGATTAACATAATGTCACATGCATCGTATGAGGGTGAAACCAGTGAAAGCTATATAACATCCAGTCATATTTTTGTGACGGTTATAAGGTACTGAAACCCTCTTCAGTCAGAAAAGCAGCGATTAGAGCCAAAGGTAATTTGCATTATGGGTTATGAAACAAAAAACCCTGATAATTGTGTTCTCAGCTTCTGTTGTTTCAGTCGGGACTCTCTCCATTTCATATTCATGTTCCCTTTCATGCATAACGCTTCATCTGCGTCTCTCATTTACAACAATGAACTAATTATCAGTCTGAAACTCATTAAAAATATATAAATCTCAAAAAATAAGCAGAGTTATGCTTTAGTAACTTCTTGATACTGTGGTCCTATTATGAGGAAACAGGTTACAGAATCAAGAAATTACTGAAGCATGAATGTTTTTATCATTTACAGTTTATTTTTTATCAAGTTCATTTTTTTCTAATTGAGCAAATATGTAAAATAAATCAATTTCATTGCAATGTTTACTTCCTTTTTATTAATGTTAATTGTTTTTTATTTGTGAAAAAATAAACTAAAATAATTAGAAATAAATAATTGTAAAATTAATAAATATTTGTAAAAAAAAATCATTTGAATTTGATCAATTAATAATCTGTCAAATAAACAGATTTATGCTTTAATAACGTATTGATTCTCTAATCACTATTTTTCACAAATAAAAAAAATAGTTGAAGCATGATTAAAAACGACAAACTGCAATGAAATTAAGATTTTTTTTTACATATTTACTAAATTATAAATAATAAAAAATGCAATAATTAAAAAATGCAGTCTGCAAAATAAAACGATTTATGCTTCACTAACTTATTGATTCTGTTATAATATAATAGTTTTCACAATTAAATACTTAAAACATGAATTAGCATGAAAAGTTTTCAGAGAAAAACATCTCATATCACCTGCTGAAATGTTCCTATTAATACATTTCCCTTCCAAATGTGCATTCTGAATAATAAATACAGTACGTTTATTTCCCAACTAACCTGCTGCAGTCAAGTTCGTACACACACAGTCACAGCTTCACAAAGACCTCTCTAGAGGGATAGTTCAGTGTTAATTTAATCATCCTCAGGGCATGCAAGATGTGAGTTTGTTCTTTTCATCTTGTTTGCCATCCGAGATTGGAAAAAGAAGATTTTTTGAGAAGATTTAACTTACTGTATGCAAAGGAGAGGAAATGTATGTGTAAAAAAAAAAAAAACTATATATATATATATAAAAATTGTTGCTTGAAATGAACTAAATGTTAACTGACATAAAAAACGTATTTTATTTCAGCTAGTTTTTAAGGCAAAATTTCTCATTTTCATTTAGTTTTCCTTCATGTAATAAAAAAGCTCAAACTAAAATAAAAATATTTAAATAATATAAAAATTGTTGCTTGAAATGAAATAAATGTTAACTGACATAAAAAACGTATTTTATTTCAGCTAGTTTTTAAGGCAAAATTTCTCATTTTCATTTAGTTTTCCTTCATGTAATAAAAAAGCTCAAACTAAAATAAAAATATTTAAATAATATAAAAATTGTTGCTTGAAATGAAATAAATGTTAACTGACATAAAAAACGTATTTTATTTCAGCTAGTTTTTAAGGCAAAATTTCTCATTTTCATTTAATTTAACGTCATGTAATAAAAAACTGAAACTAAAATAAAAATTAAAAGTTAGTAAAATAATATATGCATTTTAAAAACAACAAAACTAATAATATGAAAAAAAAAATCACAACAAAAATACTAAAACTTTAAAATTAACAAGGCAATATAAAAATACAATCAAATTCAAAACATTAACAAAATCTATAAAAGTATCTCAGTGAAACTAAAATAACTGGTTTGAACTGAAATACTAAAATAACTTTAAAAATGAATGAAAACTATACATTGTAAAAAGATGTAAATAAAAGAATCAATACAACTAATTTAAAAAGATGATTTAAATCAATTTTAGAAGTAAAATTTCACGTTTAATTCAATTGTGAAATTTACTAGCAGTGAAAATTGAAAGAATCAGGCTCATGTTTGCATTTTATTCTGTCTCTGGCCATAATTCTGAACTTGATGTCAGGATTAGTCATAAAATAATTGATCAAATTGTTATTAATGCAGCTCAGATTCAGACAGGAATCATGTGTTTGTGTTTTTCTGCTGATTAAGGGAAAATACGAAACGACTTCACCATACGAATGATTATTAAAAGCAAAAATGCCACAAAATGCACACATTTAGTGAGAAAGTGTGATGTGAAAGCGCAAACCAGACAGTGTTTTTGGAATCTAGCAGCACTAAATGAATAAGAAACGAGTACTGGTTCATTGAGGCAGTGTGACTGAATGATGGGGTTGTTATGATGATTGTTAAAGGGGTTATGAGTGACCTGTGTTGTAGTGTTTGGTGCAGTAGCCCAGCTCCTTCTCGTCTCTGATGATGAACTGCGGTAACGTCAGACCCTCGGCGACCTGAACCGGACCTTTATCGAGCCACTCGAAGATCAGGTCGTTCATCGTGTAGCCGACTGGAGAAAACATGAGCGGAAACACTGCGTTACTGCTGTTAGCCTTCATTAGCATAATAATAAAAAACACTTTCAGTTATACCTTCATTCAAGGTCAAGTACTAAGATAGACTAAAATTGAAAATAACTATAAAAAAAAACTGAAAAAACAATAAAACTAAATAGGCATATTAAAAAACAAACTCACAAAAATGCACAACAAAATGACTAAAACTTTAACTAAAATGAAAATGAAAACAACAAATATAAAAATAAAAACCAATTCAAAATATTAATACATTTTATAAAACTAAAACAAAATCTAAAATAAAAAAAATAAAACTATACAGACGTTAAAAAATAAAAAAATAAATAAAACCGACAAAAAGTACAACAAAGTGACTAAAACTTTAAAATAAAAATGAAAGTGGGAATATGAAAAAAAAAAAAACGAAATATTAATAAATATAATAAAACTAAAAATAACTAAACAACTGAAAACTTCAACTAGAATTAAAATAATAAAAAAAATCTAAATATTACCAAATATCATAAAACTGTAAAATATATAAATATCATAAAACTAAAAAAATGTTTTATATAAAAATAAAAACTAATTCAAAACATTAATAAATATCATAAAATTAAAAATAACTAAAAAACTGAAATAGAAAAAAAAAAAAAAAATTTATGTAGACATGATAAAAAACACTAAAAAACCTGACAAAAATACACAATAAAATGACTACAATTTTAACTAAAATTAAAATAAAAATGGCAAATATAAGAAACTAATTCAAAATATTAATAAAACTAAAAATAACTAAACAAAAACTGAAATAAAAAATAATAATAAACTATATAGACATGTTTAAAAAAACAACAAAACGTATGAAAAAAAAAAAACTAAATATTAATATAATAAAACTAAAAATAACTAAACAACTGAAAATCTTCAAACTTCAACTAGAATTAAAATAATAAAAAAAATCTAAATATTACCAAATATCATAAAACTATAAAATATATAAATATCATAAAACTAAAAAAATGTTTTATATAAAAATAAAAACTAATTCAAAACATTAATAAATATCATAAAATTAAAAATAACTAAAAAACTGAAATAGAAAAAAAAAAAAAAAATTTATGTAGACATGATAAAAAACACTAAAAAACCTGACAAAAATACACAATAAAATGACTACAATTTTAACTAAAATTAAAATAAAAATGGCAAATATAAGAAACTAATTCAAAATATTAATAAAACTAAAAATAACTAAACAAAAACTGAAATAAAAAATAATAATAAACTATATAGACATGTTTAAAAAAACAACAAAACGTCTAAAACTAACTAAAATTATAATGAAAACACAAAAAAATAAAAGTAAAACTGATCAAAAATATCAACAAATATCGTAAAACTAAAAATAACTAAAAACTGAAATTAAAAATGATAAAAACAATATAGGCACTAATAAAACCAACAAAAACCGTTATCTAAAACTAAAGTTTAAACAGAAAATATAAAAATAAAACTGAGTAAAAATATTAACAAATATGGTAAAGCTAAAAATAATGAAACAAAAATTGAAATGAGAAGTAATATAAACAATATAGACATTAATAAATCCGACAAAAACACAACAACCAAATGTCTGAAACATTAAAAGAGTCAAATGAAAATGAAGTACGCACAGCTCTCCAGCTGCATGGTGCAGGTCTGTACGTCCATCGGGAAGTTCTTCAGATCCATCGGACAGGACAATATTAACGTCAGCCTACAGACAACGTGACAAACACACTGCGTTATATAATATCATTATAATATCAGACCAGATTCATGTGACTGCAGTGTTTAATGTTAGACGAGTTCATCTGAGAAACACCTGCAAGCTCAGTCCTCAGCCGATCTATGACTTATGCATGAATTCAGAGCTGATGGCTTGTGATTTATAGAAACCGAGCATTTATGAAAACTTAGGACAGCGTCATATCAGCTCATTTTCAAAATAAACATGTGGATTTACGATAAGAGATCTGTTCAGGGCTCGTGTTCGCCCGAATCACTGGTGAATAGAAAAGCTTCGATTTATACATACGATGTTACTATTGTTTGAGCACTATAGTAAAATATTTCTGTTTTGCATCCTGTTCTAACTCAATGCCATTTGAGAACTAGACCTGATGTTCTTCAGCATGACTTGGATGCGAAGGGCATCACATCTTTAAGACTATAAATAGAGCACAATCTGAGAGATTTATGATTTATTTTGTGCTATAACTTTTCATAAACATTCTAAAACTTGTTAGATTATAAATGAAACAATGCCATTTTTTCAATGTGTCAGTGTTATTTTTGTATTTATATACTATTATAGTATTTATTAATATTTTGAATTACCTTTTATTTTTTAGATGTTTGGTTTTATTCATTTGTGCCTTTGTGCATTCTTATTAGTTTTTTTCTTATATGCTTTCATTTGTTTTATTTCAGTTTTAGTTGTAGTAATCTTATTCTTCAACTTCAATATTTATATTTTATCCAATATTTATATTTTATTTCAGCTTTCATTTTAACTTTACTTTCAGTAATTTCATGTGCTTTTGTCATTTTTATTCCTTGTTTTATGTTTCTATTTAGCTTTCATTTCGATTTTAGTTTCTATAATTATTTTTAATATTAAGCTGTTTTAATCTCTCTTTTTAATATTTCTATTTAGCTTTTATTTTAATTGCTTTTTGTGCTTTTGTCACTTTTATTAGTTTTTTTTTAATATTTCCTTCATTTATTTTTATTTTAGTAATTTTAGTACTTCAACATAAAATGTTTTATTTTATTATACTTCAGTTTAATTTTAGTTGCCATGGCAACACTTCTAATTTAAGCTTTTTAAGTAAGTTTTTCATCTAATATTTATATGTTCTTTGATTTCAGCTTTATTTGGATTAATGGAATGGTTTTAGTTCACGATAACAGAGTGTGTGTATCACACAGGCCTGTATGTTCAGCGTTTTGCTCTTTGAATGCTTTAAAGCCAGTCCTGCGCTCGAGCTTCAGCTTCACCTGAGATGATTGTAAATGAGCGCCGATCATCAGGCTCTTGAGCGAGCTTTAACTGATCCTGACTTCAGTCGTTCTCTTGTGTTTTTGCTGCTGAGTGAATCGCTGAACGTCTCTTACTATGTGACAAATATATCCCATCAGTGCAGAAGAGTGAACAGCTTTATTATCAGATGAATTTGATGTCTGCTGCTCTTATTTGGCTTGTTTTAGTATTTTTAGTACTTCAGCTTACACTTGTTATATTTCAGTCAGTTGCCAAGGCAACACTTCTATTTTTGCTTAAGTTTAAGTTGAAGTTTTCCATCTAATACTTGTATTTTATTTCAGATTTCATTTTAATTTTAGTCATTATTTGTGCTTTTGTCTCTTTTTTTTTTTTTTTTTATCTATTAGCTTTCATCAATTTTTATTTCTTTTCGTTTTTGTCATTTTTGTTTTTCAATTTGAGCTTATTTTCAGTTAGTTGAAAAGGTAACATTTCTCATTTTGTTTAGGTTTTTAATCTTGTATTTAGATATTTTTATTTCAGCTTTCATTCTAATTTTAGTTTAGTCATTTTGTTATGTGCTTTTGTCATTTTTATTAGATAAAAAAAAAAAACTTTAGCTTTCATCTTTTTTTCAGTTTTAGTACTTTAACTTAAACGTCTTTTGTTTCAGTTAGTGGCTAAAGCAACATTTCTTATTTCGTTTAAGTTTTTCATCATTTATATTGTTTATTTCAGCTTTCATTTTAATTTTGTGCTTTTATCATTTTTATTCATTTTTAAATATTTATATTTAGCTTTAATTTATTTTTATTTCAGTTTTAGTCATTTTAGTACTTCAACTTAAAATTGTATATTTTATTTTTATTTAAATTTTATTTCAGTTGCCAGGGCAACATTTTAAGTTTTTTAGGTTTAAGTTTTTTCATCTAATATATATTTATCGTTTTGTTTTATTTCTTTCATTTTAATTTTAGTTTTAGTCATTTTGGTTTTAAACATTATTTAAATATTTTGTGCTGTTAATTAGTTTTTGTTCTTCTAAAACATTCATCCTGTTTGATCAAACGAAACAAATCAATTTAAATAAAAAATAAAATAAAATAAATAAAAAATATGAAGATCTGCTCCAGATTTAACCCTGAAATGCCTGAGATATGAAAGTCAGAGAAATAAACAATTTTTGAAAACTTTACACAAAATATAAAAGAAGTTTAAAAAAAAGTTTGCATACATGTTTTATATGTTGTACCATATTTGATCCATCAGGTTTTTATGGCTCATATAGTCTGATATAGTGAGAATATAAAGAAAAATCTTTTATAAAGAGACTCAATCTGAACAAAAATATGAATTTGCTCCAGATGCTGATATTTCTATGATGATATTCTGCTGCTTGTAATGTAAATCAATGAGATCTTTATAACAGTGCAGCAGATACTGACAGGGGTGTGAAGCTCACTTATAAGACGCGCGATCTGCGCTGCCTCGTTTCTCTCTCGCGTGTGTTCTGCAGCAGTCACTTGGATAAGTCATTGTTGCTTGTTGACTTTTGATGAGTTTGAGGGCATGATGCGCGCTGTGAAAAAGTGTGTTGGAAACACAATACTTTTACTTGAGTATGTTTTTTCAGTACTCTTTCCACCACTGGATACTGACATAAATTGATCTAAATATCAGTGGTCGCTCTATATCTGCAGTAATCAGTAATGTGTCTCAGTAAAATGAGACTGAAATGCTCCAAACATATAATGCAGTGATTGAGAGCTGAAGAAATAAAGGCTCCTCAGAAGATGTGAGATGTTCTGGAGGCTTGTGAAGATCATTCCTCCGCTGAGGAACAGTGAAAGTAAAGCTTCTGGAAACAAACGCTCCTCAAAAGATCCTGAGGATCAGATTTGAGACTCTAAAACATGATTGATGGAGAATCAAGTAAAGCTGAGCTGCTTCAGTCCAGTAAGTGTTCATCTGGAGATATTACTGCAGGTATTCTGACCTTTACTTTACTTTACTGACACGAGAAGAGTTTCTACAATTACACTAAAAGAGCTTTTACTGGATAAAACACTCTAAACTCTCAATCAGAGACAGAAGGAGTGTGTTAATCGTCTTCATACCTGATGCTGTACAGGACGGTTCCGTCCTTGAAGATCCTCAGGAGCTTGTTATCCGTCGTGACGTCGTGGAAGTTGGCTCCCTTCTCGTTGGCGAAGAACAGGTCTGGTTTCCAGATGGAGTCCAGCATGGACGGGTCCAGATCCAGAGAGGAGTCGGGATACTCGCTGTAGGCCAGCCGAGGGTCGTTCCACTTCTGCCGCAGGAAGATGTTCACCCTGTAGTCCTGAGACACGAGTACAGTCACGGGCGTTTCAATGATCGTCCGTGCCAAAGCGAGTCACAATGAGCACATTTTAGGAGTTCTTTTTATTTTCACATTCTCCATTAAAAGACCTTCAAGATGATATATGTGATCCTGAACCACAAAACCAGTCAGAAATGGAGATGCATCATCTGAAAGCTGAATAAATCATCTTTCCATTGATGTGTGGTTTGTTAGGATAGAACAATATTTGGCTGAGATACAACTATTTGAAAATCTGGAATCTGAGGGTGCAAAAAAATCAAAATATTGAGAAAATCATCTTTAAAGTTGTTCAAATGAAGATCTTAGCAATGCATATTACTAATCAAAAATTAAGTTTTGATATATTTACGGTAGAACATTTACAAAATATCTTCATGGAACATGATCTTTACTTAATATTCTAATGATTTTTGGCATAAAAGAAAAATGGAAAATTTTGACCCATACAGTGTATTGTTGGCTATTGCTACAAATATACCCCAGCGACTTAAGACTGCTTTTGTGCTCCAGGCTCACATATGATTTGTTGGAATCGGACAAAAAAATGCCTGAGCTACAGCCGTCTGAAGTCGACGAAGTCGGTTCTAAAAAACTCGAGATGAAGTTTTCTGAAGGTTCCAAAACAAAACCACCAGCAAAATTGCATTGTTTTCTCCACTTCCTTCCTTCCTATTAATTACTATACTAATAATCACAACATAGCCATTTTTTATTTGATCTTTGTTATTAAAAATAAGAACCGATGCAAAAAAAGCAACAACAGTAGAACAAATATAAGAAAGAATCAAACAGGCCAAGCGCATTACTTTTTTCATTTTACATCTAAACAAAAGCATTCAAGTAAGAAAAACGAATAATCCAATGTAAAAATCACTTCAGTGTGTTTATTAAAAATAGATTGATTATTAAAACTACAAAAGCAGTTCGATCAAGATCAGAATTTTCATTTTTGGGGTGAACTAACCCTTTCACTTCATCATAACATTTTATAAGCATTGACTTTATAAGCATTTCTGTGTGCTTTTGTTCAAAGTTTAGCTTAACTAGAGAAATCCAATGCCATTCAAGGTTTTCATTAGACGAAGCTCTGTGAAAATGCTGTTGGACGAATATATTAGCCAGACTTTTTGTTACATTCATTACAAGCAAATAATGGCATTACAAAAAGCCTATAGAAATCAAGCGAATTAACTGCCGAAGTATAAAGATAAGTAGCATCATTTAGTGTGCATTTTCTTTAAAATGCATTAACAGCATTTTATTACAGTTAACAATGTATTATATATGCATATATGTAATATATAAAAATATTATAAATGTATTTTAAAATATTTATGCATATATATATACATTTGTACAAAGTATGAAAAAATATATTTTATATTTTAAATATATTTTATACATCTGTCTATATATATAGATCTAAATATATTCTAGTTATTAGAATTATGACACAAAAGTAAATACTCCAGATGCATTATATTATTTTAAGACATCATTATTTTAAAAAGCAATGAAATATATAAAATCATAAATTAAATGTAGTGTTTTTTCACATCATTTTAATGTTGTTTTGTCCAAAACTCATCAAGCTCTAGTGGTATTTAGTATTCTCTGTAGAGTTCATTAGTGGCCTTGTATGACTGGCTGCTGAAGAATGATCATCAGAAACATGTAAACAAAATTAGCATTTGATCAAAGCAGCGTCTCTGGTGCTCGTGTTTAATATCCACTGGAGATGGATTTCAGGAATATTCCCAGGAAAAGAGCTGGGAGTTGTTTACGCCTGAAGCGTCTGGAAATCTCCAAACGTGACTCTAATCGATCTGAATTCAGGCCCGCTGGCCGATCCAGAGCTTTGTTCTCCGTCTGAGTTATTAAGACTAAAGCGCTTTAATGCCAGTGTGTGTAGAACAAGGAGCACTGAGGGAATGTTTCAGTACAGCGTCAGTGGAAGGTGAAATCTTGTTTTCAGAGCTAAGTTCTTTATTGGATTTTATTCTTGTGATTGATTGGAAAGTGTTGATTAGAGATGATTTGCAACAGGAACGAATAGTAAATGGATAATAATTCCTTTTAGCAAAGTAAATGACAAACACTCACCATAGTGGTTTCTGTCACTGAGCCGAAGCTGTTGATGAATATATTACACGTGACGTTCACAGGAGGACCTGCAGACAACAAATAAGAACAACATGATGTTAAACAGCAAATAATTCAGTAACGTTCACATGTTAAGCCACTGAGTTCACCATTCAGATGACATGTAGTAGCATTCATTTATTTGATTAAAAATATAGTAAAAAATCTGAAATATTATTAGAATTTAAAACAGCTGTTTTCTATGTGAATATCTGTTAAGCTGTAATTTATTTCTGATATAAGAAACATTTCTGATTATTATCAGTGTTTAAAACAGTCGTGCTGAACTATATTTTTGTGGAAACTGATACATTTTATTTTTCAGGATTCACAGATGAATAGAAAGTTCAAAAGAACAGCATTTATTTGAGATAGAAATATTTTGTAACATTATAAATGTCTTTACTGCAGAGTTATTTGAGTATTATTTATATACTACCATAGTTTTTAATACTATTTTGAATTAGTTTTTATTTACAGTGGGGCAAAAAAGTATTTAGTCAGCCACCAATTGTGCAAGTTCTCCCACTTAAAAAGATGAGAGAGGCCTGTAATTTTCATCATAGGTATACCTCAACTATGAGAGACAAAATGAGAAAAAAAAATCCAGAAAATCACATTGTAGGATTTTTAAAGAATTTATTTGCAAATTATGGTGGAAAATAAGTATTTGGTCAATAACAAAATTTCATCTCAATACTTTGTTATATACCCTTTGTTGGCAATGACAGAGGTCAAACGTTTTCTGTAAGTCTTCACAAGGTTTTCACACACTGTTGCTGGTATTTTGGCCCATTCCTCCATGCAGATCTCCTCTAGAGCAGTAATGTTTTGGGGCTGTCGCTGGGCAACACGGATTTTTTATGTACTTTTGTCATTTTTTTTTTTTTTTTATATATATATATTTCAGTTTTAGATCTAGTTTTAATTTAAGTGCATTAATTTAATTTAGTTGCCTATAGGTAACATTTCTAATTTTCATATAGCTTTTCACTTAATATTTTATTTCTACATCTATTTCAATTAGCAAAAATGTTTTAATAGTTTTTTTTTTTTAATTACTGTCACTTTTGATCAGTTTAATGCATCCTTGTACAATCACGTAACTGAAATAATGTACATTAACTGCCTTTTGACAATATTTGATTATACATGTAACTGTAATATTCATTATATTAATGAATATGAATTAATTTTCATTATATATTTAACTCTAATATTTTATTTCAGCTTTTACTAAATTTGCAAAAAATGCTTTACTGTCACTTTTGATCAACTGAAAGCATCCTCGTACAGTATTGTAACTCAAATACTGTATATTGATTGCCTTTTTATAGTTATAATCCTTGTCTACACTTCACAGTTTCTTCATTTCTGTTGTATCCCTCATTAGTAATTCACTTCTGCTAAATGAGTCAGTGTAAATATTTTAACATGTATGCGTTTGCTCTGAAATGGTTAACGTAGATCGAAAATATTCAATGCAAGAAGTAAAGCATTGTAATAGATTGTGACTATATATCGCTCGGCGCCACACAGCATGCTTTTTTGAGCAGATTGTAGCCTGTCATGCATGTTGAAAATCATGAAAGGAGTTTATTAAGGTTCTCTAGGTGCAGCGTTCTAAAAATAATCCATTCAATGCGCCTCGGAGGGATTTTGAACCTCGTGAATGTTTTCTAACAAGATTGCGTTTTAATCACTGCTGGGCACAAACACACATCCACGCCAAACTAAGCTGAATCAAAGCTGGCGCTCGTCTGCTGGAGAGCCAAGGAGAAGCAGACAGACGCTGTAATAGCGTCCTTCAGATACCGCTCCGAAACAAATAAAGTAAGAGACTGTTAAATAACACAGCAGATGAACGCAGACGAATTACTCGATCCTTTGCTTTGACCGACACCATTCACTTCCAAAATACACTGAAGTAAAACTAGTTCCTCTTATAGAAACCTTCTCAGTATTGCATGAGCAGATTACTTTATTTGGAATATAGGAATATAGTGAGAAGTTGTACCAGTGTTATTTAGTATCAAGATACTGTTTTATACAGTAACATAATATATAACATATGTTTCAACATATATCATATGTGACCCTGGAGCACAAAACCAGTCATAAGGGTCAATTTTGTGAAATTGAGATGTATGCATCATCTGAAAGCTGAATAAATAGGCTCTCCATTGATGTATGGTTTGTTAGGACTGGACAATATTTGGCTGAGATACAACTATTTGAAAATCTGGAATCTGAGGGTGCAAAAAAATCTAAATATTGAGAAAATCATCTTTAAAGTTGTCCAAATGAAGTTCTTAGCAATGCATATTACTAATCAAAAATTAAGTTTTGATATATTTACGGTAGGGAATTTACAAAATATCTTCATGGAACATGATCTTTACTTAATATCCTAATGATTTTTGGCATAAAAGAAAAATCTATAATTTTGACCCATACAATGTATTTTTGGCTATTGCTACAAATTTAGAAGAAAATTAAGCCTATATTAGGATTTGTTCAGTTAATATGAACAATTATCCATATCCAACAATTACTCATACTAAATCCTTACTGCTGTAATTAAAACAAAAAACAAATAATTAACTATATTTTGCATAAGGAAAATTAACCCTATAGCTATTTTTTGCATTGTAAAATTAATGTAATCAATTATGCACATTACATCCTAAAATCTTACTGCTGTAATTGAGCAACAACAACAGAGAAGTAATAGAAAATTGTAGCATATATTAAGATTTGCATTGTGACATTAATCAATTATGCAGATTTCAATTAAAAACATTGTATTACATTTATAGTACATTACATTATAGTAATACAGTTAAAAACACTGTGTCTACTGATGAGGATAAGACAGTAAAATATCCTAAAAAAAAAAAAATTTAATACTTGGTAGTGTTTTCGTGGCACAAAATATAAAAAATGGCAAGAAACTACATTATTAGCATGAACGAACAATAAACAATACTTCTACAACCTTTATTAATCTTAGCTAACATTAGTTATTTCACTGTGAACTATCATGAGCAAACAATGAACAATTGTATTTGACTGTTAATAATAGCTATACAGATATTTTGCTCAGTGTTAACTAATGCATTAACTAATTTTAACAAATGAGTTACTGAATGATATTCTTAAGACAATTTATATATGTAGATAATTTGTGCATGAATAATTTCTTGTTTTTTTTTTTATATTGGGGTGAGATGTAAGTGTAAAGCTGATGGTTGACGGAACATGTTTCAATGAGTTCATTTGATCCAATTAATTATGGAAAACATAGCATGTTAAAACGCATATAATGCACCGCCTAAAGCATCGTAAGCCTAAGTTGATCGTAGCTCCATTGGTTTCAATGGGTCCACCATGTACTTATGCTTGCAATGCTTTAGTGAAACACAGCCCAGACTCTACGTCATCCTACATTGATGCAGTTGCTGATGAACTTGATGCAGGACGACTGACTGCGTGATGAAGCCTATTAGAATGCAGTTATATGAGCCTAAAATTCAAGATATGAGTGCAAAAAATCACACTATATGGGTTTTTGTCACAGCAGAACATCTCAGGTTACTTATGTAACCATAGTTCCCTGAGTAGGGAACGAGACACTGCGTCCTCTAGGGGTCGCTATAATTGCCATGGAACAATTATGTCTAACCCTATTATTAGGGTTGCTACATACCCCAAAAAACGTACCTGTTAGGGCCAGAACTCCTGGGCCCGGGGTAGAGCTCAAGGCTTGGAATCA